GGTGCCCGCTGCCACGCCCAGCTAATTGTTTTTTGCATTTTTAGTAGAGACGGGGTTTCACCGTGTTAGCCAGGATAGTCTCGATCTCCTGACCTCATGATCCGCCCATCTTGGCCTCCCAAAGTGCTGGGATTACAGGCGTGAGCCACCGCTCCCGGCCGGAGGAATTAATTTTTTATTTTGAAATAATTGCAGATTTTTTTTAAAAATTGCAAAATTAGTAGAGTTCCTATAACCTTTACCAAGTTTCCTCAAATGTTAACATCTTATGTAAATACAGTACAATGATCAAAACCAGGGTTTTATGTTGGTATGAACTAAGAGTTAATTAGACCTTATTCATATTATACCACTTGTCTGTTTTCTGCTCCAGGGTCCAATCTAGGATCACAAATCCCATTCAGTTGTGAGGCCTTCTTAGTTTCCTTCAGTCTAGAACAATTACGTCCTCATTCTGTCTTTATCTTTCATGGCGTACATGTTTTTAAAGAGTGCTGTCCAGTTACTTTTCAGAATGTCCCTCCATTTGGGTTTCTCTGATATTTCCTTGTGAGTCAAATTCAGATTTTGCATTTTTGCCAAGAAAACATACAAGCCATTTGTGCTCTTCTCAGTCTGTCAGATCGGGAGGTACATGATGTTGATAAATCTCATTGCTGGTGATACTAACTTCCATCACTTCGTGAAGGTGGCCGTCTCATGTATCTGCACTGTAAAGTTACTGTTTTTTCATTTGTAATGAGTGAATGTCCAGTTTCTTGTCCTTTTTTTTTTTTAATGGTTTTTCTTTTTATTTCTTTTCATTTTTGAGGTATTTCTTCAAAGTAGTTTTTTATATCCCCAAATAAGTAGCTAATATGTTTAATTCAGTATTCTTTTTTTTGAGATAGAGTCTTACTCTGTTACCCAGGCTGAAGTGTGATCTCTGCTCACTGCATCCTTCGCCTCCCAGGTTCGAGTGATTCTCCTGCCTCAGCCTCCCAAGCAGCTGGGATTACAGGCACGTCCCACCATGCCCAGCTAATGTTTGTATTTTTAGTAGAGACAGGGCTTTGCCGTTTTGGCCAGGCTGGTCTTGAACTCCTGACCTCAGGTGATCCTCCTGCCTTGGCCCTGCAAAGTGCTCAAATTACAGGCGTGAGCCACTGCGCCCACCTAATTCAGTATTCTTTTCCTTCCCACTTGTTTTGGGGAGAATTTTCTTTCTTTTTTTTTTTTTTTTTTTGGTTTGTTTTTTTTTTGAAACAGGGTCTGTTTCAACAGCCTGTCGCCCAGGCTGAAGTTCAGTGGCACAGTCACAGCTCACTGCAGCCTCAAAATCCCAGGCTGAGAATTTTCATTAGTATGTTGGATCTCCGTTTTCTTTTTTTTTTGTAACCTTTACATATGGATTTATTAATTTTATTTCTATTTCCGAGATAATGAGATGGTTTAAGCAATTACAAGTTCAGTGACACCCTTTTTTGCAAGTGTAGTGAAGTCCAGAGTTTGTTCCACTTTTGAGGGTCTTGCAGGACTCTAAATTTTCTCCCCTTTTGGTTCTACTTACAGTATGCAGTTATAAAAGGGTACTTCTCCCTTCTTGTCTTGTCCCTCAGAAGCTTTGAGTTTCAAATACTGCCAGTTCAAACCCCATGAACCATTAGGACCCTGTGCTGTATGCCGTATTCTGATTTTTGTCAGAGTGCTGCTTTAGTATTTTCACACTTGAGTTGGTCTTACCCTTCTCCTGGTAGATTTGGAGCTGGCTGAGGCTCCTGAGCTCTCTTTTTTTGAGACAGAGTCTTGCTCTGTTGTCCCAGACTGGAGTGCAATGTTGCGATCTCAGCTCACTGCAACCTCCGCCTCCTGGTTCAAGCAATTCTCCTGCCTCAGCCTCCCAAGTAGCTGGGGTTACAGGTGCCCCACCATGCCCGGCTAATTTTTGTATTTTTGGTAGAGACGTTGTTTCACCATGTTGGCCAGGCTGGTCTTGAACTCCTGATCTCAGGTGATCCACCTGCCTTGGCCTCCCAAAGTGCGGGGTTTACAGGTGTGAGCTAGTGCGCCTGCGTGGTGTTTTTAATTTTGGTGATTCAAGCGGGTGTGTAGTAGTATGTCATTGTGGTTTTAATTTACTTTTCTAGAATGACTAACAACGTTGAGAATCTTTTCACAGACTTACTGGCAATGTACATATCCCTTCATGTATTTTCCATTTTTACTTGGATTGTTTGTCCTCTTATTTTTACTTATTTTTCAGTTCTTTATATCCTAGAGACAAGTTATTATATTTATATATTGAAAATATTTACTCCTAATCCTTGGCTTACCTTTTAATTTTCCTAACAGTATCTTGCATAGAGCAAAAGTTTTGATTTTGATGGCATTCAGTTTATCAGTTTTTTTCTTTTATGGTTCATGCTTTTTGTGTCCTAAGAAACATTTACCTAACCCACGGTCACAATTTTCTCCTATTTTTTTTTCTAAATTTTATAGTTTAATTTTAGTGTTTATGTTGATGACCATTTCAATTTTATTTTTATATATGACATATGTAAGGATTTAGGGTTTTTTTGCTTTTTTAAAGGTAGAATTCAGACGCAGTGGTTCATACTTGTAATCTCATCACTTTAGGAGGCCACAACAGGAGGATCACTTGAGGCCAGGAGTTTGAGACCAGTCTGGGCAAAATAGCAAGACCCTGTCTCTACAGAACAGTAAAAAAAAGTTAGCTGAGCATGGTGGCACACACCTATGGTCCCAGTGACATGGGAGGCTGAGGCAGGAGGATTTCTTGAGCCCAAGTGTTTAAGGCTGCAGTGAACTGTGATCATGCCACTGCACTCCAGTCTGGGAGACAGAACAAGACCCAGTCTCTACAAAAATAATCAAAAACAATGTAAAAATAGGTGCTCAGTTTTAGTGTTACTTCTTAAAAAATGTAGCCTTTCTCATTGAATAACCTTGCCATTCAGTAACTTGGCATATTTGTCAGCATATCAGTTGATCTTGATTGCAGGTCTGCTTTTAGACACTGTTTTCTTTATCTGTGTAGCTGCCTTACACCAATACCACAGTCTCTTATTGTTGCTTTATAAAAAAATACTGAAATTGGATAGTTTAAGCCTTCCAGTTTTGTTCTTTTTAGTTTCTTTTTATTGTCATCAGTTTTAGAATCAACTTGTCAACATTTATAAAAATGCCTGCTGGTTTTTTTGGTTTTGTTTTTGTTTTTGTTTTTGAGACGAAGTCTCACTCTTGTTGCCCAGGCTGGAGTGCAGTGGCGCAATCTTGGCTCACAGCAACCTCCACCTCCCGGGTTCAAGCAATTGTCCTGCCTCACCCTCCCGAGTAACTGGGATTACAGGTGCCTGCAACTGCGCCCGGCTAATTTTTGTATTTTTAGTAGAGATGGGGTTTCACCATGTTGGCCAGGCTGGTCTCAAACTCCTGACCTCAGGTGATCTGCCTGCCTCGGCCTCCCAATGTGGTGGGATTACAGGCATGAGCCACCATGCCTGGCCTTTTTTTTTTTTTTTTTTAGTCGGGGTCTCGCTCTGTCACCCAGGCTGGAATGCAATAGTGCAATCTCAGCTCACGCAAGCTCCGCCTCCCAGGTTCATGCCATTCTCCTGCCTCAGCCTCCCAAGTAGCTGGGATTACCAGTGCCTGCCACCATGCCCAACTAATTTTTTGTGTTTTTAGTAGAGATGGGGTTTCACCGTGTTGGCCAGGATGGTCTCAATCTCCTGACCTCGTGATCCACCTGCCTTGGCCTCCCAAAGTGCTGGGATTACAGCCACGAGCCACCGCGCCCGGCTGCCTGCTGGTATTTTTACTAGGATTGCTTTAACTCTAAAGATTAATTTGGGGAGAGCTGACATTTTAACAGTATTAAGTCTTAGGCCTTGAACTTAGTACATTTCTTCATTTGTTTAGGCTGTCTTCAGTTTCTCTCAACAGTGGCTTGTATTTTTCAGAGTATAGGGCTAGATTCAGCAGTTGGTACTGAACTTTATTCCAGTGCTTCCTCTGTTTTCCTAGTCCCACGTAGTTACCACTTTCTTTTCCCATTTGTTTGAAATGCATAGAAGTTGCAAAATTCTTGTATGTACAGTCACAAGTCACTTGATGGTGATATGTTCTCAGAATTTCATCATCATGCCAGCTTCTCACGATGTTGGTAACATGTTGGTAACACCTAGGCTATCAATCTGTACAGCATGTTACCGTACTGAATACTGTAGGTAATTGTAACATGGGGAAGTATTCTTGTACTAAACATAGAAAAGATACAGTAAAAATACTATCTTATGGGACCACTGTTGTATATATCCGGTCCATCACTGACCACAGCAACATTACGCAGTTTATAACTACTTGGATTTGTTTCCGAATTTTCTTCAGGGATTTTGAAAGTTGGAAACAAATGAGAGAAATTTAGTTAAAAGCCAGAATAGGCTGGGCATGGTGGCTCAACCCTATAGTCCCAACACTTTGGGAGGTCGAGGCAGGCGAATCACAAGGTCAGGAGGTCGAGACCAGCCTGGCCAACACGGTGAAACCCCGTCTCTACTGAAAATACAAAAAAAATAGCTGGGCGTGGTGGCGGGCGCCTGTAGTCCCAGCTACTCGGGGTGCTGAGGCAGGAGAATGGCATGAACCCAGGAGGCAGAGCTTACAGTGAGCCGAGATCGCGCCACTGCACTCCAGCCTGGGTGACAGAGTGAGACCCAGTCTCCAAAAAAAAAAAAAAAACAATAAACCTAAAGGAAAGAAAATGTATTAGCTACTAATTTGGCCTTATGGCAGTTTTGAAGAATACTATATTCTGTAGCTGATATTTTTAATATTTTAAGTTTTTGATTGAATTAGGTTACCATTTTAAAGTATATGCTGAGTCCATTAGTGCTGTGTATTTTTGAACTTAATACAAGGATTTAATTTCTTTTAAGTTAATCTTATTTAAAATAATTCTCTTAGAGTTATATAAATTCCGACTTCTTGTTGTTTCATAGTTTATCTGGAAGAATGTGAATTGGCTAAACAGCTTTATCCAAAGGAAAACGATTTGGTGTTTTTAGTTCCTGAGAGAATAAATGAAGAGAAGAAAGATGCAGAGAGAAATGACATACAAGATCTCCACGAATATCATTCTGGTTATGTTCATAAATTTCGCCGCACTTCAGTCAGTAAGTAAATAATGAGACATTGACAGGAAATGTCATACAATCTCGTCTTCTAATTTGCTTCTAAATTGTGTATATCAAGTGTATTTGATATACATTTACCAAACATGTTTTTGCTATGTTGATTACTTGCCGTTCAGAGTCTGTCTTCTAGTTTTTCTTGACTTACCTGGAAATAACCTTGTATTTATTTTTGTAATGTTCTGTCCTTTTGTTACATTTCTTTATCCGTCATTGTGTTTGCTATAAAATGGACCATTTGCAGACCATCTGTTGTTTGTTAAATTACGTTTCATCCTTAGTTTTGTGGCCAATTACTAATGAGATGACCAAACATGAAACTCACTGTAAGGAATCTGCTTACATCACTTCCATCCATTGTATGTTTCTCCCTAGATAATTTAATAACAAAAATGTTCCCCTAAATTTAATGAATACCAGATGTATGCAGTGATACTTGTCCCTTTTTTTTTTTTTTTTTTTGAGACGGGATTTCACTTTTGTTGTCCAGGCTAGAGTGCAGTGATGCCGTATCGACTCACTGCACTCTCCGCCTCTTGGGCTCAAGCGATTCTCCTGCCTCAGCTTCCCAAGTAGCTGGGATTATAGGCATCCGCCACCAGTCCCGGCTAATTTTTTGTGTTTTTAGTAGAGACAGGGTTTCACCATGTTGGCCAGGCTGATCTTGAACTCCTCACCCCCATCCACCTACCTCCCAAAGTTCTGGGATTACAGGCGTGAGCCACCATGCCCGGCTGAGACTTGTCCTTCTTATGCACATTTATAATCTTCCCCGAAGCCCCAAAAGGTACTAGAAATTATTCCTTGCTCATCAGAAGATCATGGCTCAGGGATGTTAAGTAACCTTTTCAAGGCTATCATCAGTGTTAAGTGGTAAGTCCAGAATTGAAACCTGCTTTTGTTGACTGCGAAGTCCACATTGTTTTTCTTATGCCAAACTGCCTTTTGGCAGTTGCAACTTTTTTAGTCTTAGTTATGTGAAGAGAGGAACGTTATTTTATTATTCCTTCTCCTTTTTGCATGGTATCTTAAAAGTAGCAATAAAGTGTGTCAACGTTGTACTGCATTATAACAGGTGTGCCGTGTTTATTTGTGTGATCAGGGCTTAATTCTGTAGATACATTTAGGATACGTTTAGAAGAGTTGCAGTGAGGATTGATGTCTTACTCTGTGCTTTTGGCTCCTGAAAACGATTACCTTTGCCAAATTTATAGTTCTAAGGCAGTCTCCTTCCCTGAACTCCTCATAGATCAAAATCATCTCTCGGATATCTCCATTTGGAAATGTGTTAGACATTTCAAATCCACTAGTCCAAAAGTTAACACTTGATTTTCTGCCTGACATTTGCACTTCCTTCATTCTTTCCCATCTTGTTAATTGGGGCCTCCATTCTTTCAGTTACTCAGACCAAAAACCTTGGAGTTATCCATGATCCTTACTTTCTCTCACACCTCACTTCTAATTTGTCAGCAGATCTGATTGACTTTTCCTTTGCAATATATCCCAAATCCAGTTCCCACGTCTACTAGTACATCCTGGTCCAAGCTGTCATTAACTTTTACCTAAATTACTATGGTAACCTTGTAAGTGGTCTTTTTGTTTCTGTACTTTTATTATTGTAGTTATTCTTTGTTCTGAGGTAAGAGTGGTTCTTTCAGTTTGTGAGATAAAGCATGTTATTTCCCTACACAGAGTGCCCGATGGTTTTCTACCTGATCCTGAATAGCGTTCAGAGTCATTACTGCGATCTGCACAGCCCTATAAAATACAGCCCATTTTACTCTGAGTCGCTAAGCATTCTTCTCCCTATTTTTCCTTCTAGCCGTGTTAGCCTTCTCCCTATTTCTAAAATATTCCTGGCACATCTCTGTCTTCAAAGATCTTTGCAGTTGCTGATTTTCTGTGTGTAGCACTGTTTACCCCCTGCTAAGTGCATACTCCCTTACTTCAAGTCTCTGCTCAAATATTTCATCAGGAAGACCTTCCTGGACCCGCCTATCCGCCTCCATCCCCATCACTTCCTCCCTTTGTCTGTTTTCTTCAGAGCACTTACTACCACCTGACATATTTATTTGGTTATGTGCCTCCCTCTTCTAGAAAATAAGCCTCTGGAGGACAGAACATTACTGGGTTCAGGAAGCAGTCCATAAATATTTATTGGGTAAATTATGTAAATAATATCCAAAAATAATGTTAAAATTACCTAATTCTGCATGACCTTTTAAACTAGGCAACACATTATTCAGTGATAACTGAAGTTGCTTTTTCTCTTTCTTGACGATAGTGCGTAATGGGAAAGCTGAGTGTTACCTTTCCATCCAGACTCAAGAGAATTTTCCGGCCAATTTAAACGAACTTGTGAATTGTATTGTAATCAGTTCTCTGGTAACGACACAAAGGAAGTTGAAAGCCATGTCTCTGTTGGGTAGTCGGAACCAACTGGCTAGAGCTGTTCTGAATCCAAACCCTATGGACTTCTGTACAAAAGATTTACTAACTACAACATCTGAGAGAATTGTGAGTGATGATTATATGATACTAGATAATTTCATGTTAGGATGCTAAAGCATCATATTTTTAGCTGCTACGTATTCCTGTATGTCTACAACAAAGACATGTTCACGGTGAACAGTTTAGTGTTAGTTTTCTTTAATATTGCAAAGTATGTAATTTAGGTTAGTCAGCTGACCTCAGGAAAAGGTACAGTACAATAACAGTTGAAGGTTGCTGGAAGAGCAACATTAAAATGTTAGCTCAGCAGCCTACTTAATGTGCATTCGATGAGAAGTCTCAGGTTTAGTGGTGTTAAATTTACATTTGAATGATTGATGGAGAATTGGCTGGTATTGTTGGAAATCCAAAGATGAAGTTGTCATCTGAACATGTGAAGCTGTATATAAACCCTACGAAATTAACACAGAGAAATGCAAAAGGAAAGTAATATTTTTTGAAACTCTACTGTATGCTATGGCTTTCATGTGCATTATCTCAGTCTGTTCTCACTTTCAAGGAATCCTAGATTTAATGAGTAACAGAGGCTAAGGCTTAGGTTAGGAGTGTAGTGACCCAACTTTTGTAAGTGAGTGAAGCTTAGACTCAGATCTGACCCTGAAATCCACGTTTGTTCCCCTGTACACATGTGTTAGGAAATACATAGTCTCGGGATGTTTTCACTAAGGAGAAAATTGACTAAAGAAGGAAGAAAAACAGAGTAGTAAAAAGAAAAGGTGTGGATTAGTAAATGCAGTTTATTGTAGTTATCTTTGTAAGAATAAAACACAAAAATACGGTTGTGGTATTTGTAAGTACTTGAAGCCTTACAGACACTGATTAGTAATTAGTAATGAGCTTTCTTTCCAGCAGTGAACGTGTTTTTAGATTAAGGGTCACTTTGGTGCCCTTATCTTGTCTGACCATAACCAAAGCTTTTGTCTGAAGCATTGAAAGAGATTTGAACAGGTCTTTTTCATGGTCTTCCTTTCAAATTCCACTATAGAAACAGCAACTCATTCTCAAAAATGTGTTTTTATATAGATTGCTTACTTAAGAGATTTCAATGAAGACCAAAAGAAAGCAATAGAAACTGCATATGCTATGGTGAAACACTCACCATCAGTTGCCAAAATCTGCTTGATTCATGGACCACCTGGAACAGGAAAATCAAAAACTATTGTCGGCCTCCTCTATTGTCTACTGACAGAGGTAGGTATGGGTGAGGGCACTGATGCCGTTAACTAGATGCATCATTTTACTTTACTTGAGTTACCTGACATGTAAATAAGTATTAATATGCCATTTCTTCCTTGCTTTGTGTGTATTTTTTATATTATGTGTAACTGTCAGAGACAAGGGTGGCAGAGGGAGGGAAGGTTATGAGAAGTAAAAAGAGGAAAAAAACCACTATTTTATGGGAAACAAATCGTAAGGATGAGAATGATGGCCTTCAGGCTTCACTCTAGGCCACAGCTAATACTGTGAATGCTGGGCTACATTTTGGTTGGATCGTGGGGTTTTTTGTTTTTTGTTTTTTGTTTTTTTTTTTTGAGACAGTGTCTCGCTATCATCCAGGCTAGGGTGCAGTGGCACGATCTCGGCTCACTGCAACCTCCGCCTCCCACGTTCAAGTGATTCTCCTGCCTCAGCCTCCCGAGTACCTCCCGAGTAGTTGGGACTACAGGTGTACACCACCACCCACAGCTAATTTTTGTATTTTTAGTAGAGACAGGGTTTTGCCATGTTGGCCAGGCTGGTCTCGAGCTCCTGACCTCAAGTGATCTGCCTGCCTCAGCCTCCCAGAGTTCTGGGATTACAGGCGTGAGCCACCGTGCCTGGCCTGGATTGAGTATTGATTAAAGTACATGGATGATAAAGTAAGGCTCAGAGCAGTTATGACAAATTTTTTTGCTAGAGTAATTTTAAATATCAGTGTAAGATGTAGATGCTTTTATTTATTTTTAACTTTATTATGAGAACTTTCAAAAATACATGGCAGTAAAGACAAACTTTAAAGCTATATAATAGAGCTCACCCGTATTTTTTGTGTTTTTTTGGTATGTGTATGTGGCAAACTGTAGAACCAGAGGAAGGGGCATTCAGACGAAAACTCCAATGCCAAAATCAAACAAAACCGTGTCCTCGTGTGTGCACCTTCCAATGCAGCTGTTGATGAACTCATGAAAAAAATTATCCTTGAATTCAAAGAAAAATGTAAAAACAAGAAGAATCCTTTAGGTATGATACTTTTGTGGATTTTTAGTTTGTTTTTGTTTTCAGTGTTAAGTGTAGGCAACTTTGAATGACAAAGGAAAGAGCAAGTCAGTCCTGGTAATAGCTTCTACTTGAATCTGTGGCTTGTTAGTTCATTTAGCAAGTATTTCATTGAACATTTACCCTGTGCCAGGTACTGAGGTTTCATCAGGGAAGACTTCAAGGAGACACACGGTCTAGTGAGGAAGTAGGTCAATATAGAGTGTGATAAGTTCCACAGTGGGGCTAAAATGTGGGGTGTTTCAGACACCTTAGAGGGACCCCAGTTCAATTGTGTGAGGGTTAGAGAAGGGCAGTTAGGTGTTAGCCACAGGAAGTAGAGGGTTAAGGAATACTTGAGCGCAGAGATTGCCATAAAAAGAAAGAATCAGGGCAAAGGAGCCTCAGATGGTTCATGAGGTTCCTAGAGCATTAGGTGGTGGTGAAAGATGAGACTTGGAGTAAGCACAGGCTTAGTGAAAACAATCATTGTTTACAGTCACTGAGTGTTGGCTATGTGTCTGTAATTCTCAAAATAATCCCAGGAACTTGGTGTTAACCCTACCATCTGTATTTTGTAGGTGGGGAAACTGAAGCTGAGAAATGTTAATTACACTAGAGGGATAACTTTTTTTGGTAGAATGTACATGATAATGAGCATTACAACAAATGATTCAGGGCACTGAAGTGAAGATGTGAAATTATTTCTTTTTTTAACCTTAACACTCATTTTTCGTATCACTCGTATTGAGTGGTATAGTTATGGCTTTGTATTTGATGACCTTTCCAAGCTCGTATGTCTTGTCTTTCCTACCAAATTTAATTTTCCTTAAGGATACCTAACAGGGCCTTTTAACAGGATTTGATTTAGCAGACTCCAAATACAGTGACTTGTTAAAAAGCCCAGAGTTGGGCAGTTAAGAACTGGTACCAGAGTCACTGGTATGGCGACTCTGCCTTAGAGAGTCCTTGGAGACCCAGGCTCCATGTGGTTGCTCCACCATGGGTGGCCTCTATTCTTGAGTGCACCTGTGGTCAGGATAGCTGCTCCAGCTCCAGCAAACATGAGGAAAAGATGAAGATGGGGCAGAGGGAACATACTAGCCTTGTTATAAGGAAAGTTTCTAGGTCCTGCCAATAGTACCTCTGCTTATTTTCTTTTGGCCACACCGATGTATAAGAGAGGCTGGAACATGTCATCTTTATTCTGAGGGATCACACACGTTTTTCCTTATATCACATATGTATTACATACACATAGAATTCATTTGCTGTTAAAACATACAGTACATTGTGAATCTCTGATTTACATTTTTCCAGTTGCCTTTACATTTGTGAGATTGATATTGTGAATAGCTGTCATCACTCATATTAACTGCTATAGTGTGTTTCATTGAAGGCATGCAAAATTTACTCATCGATAATTTAGTTTCTTTTCAATTTTTTATTTCAAACTTGAGATGAGCATTAAAAAACTTTACTAAAACACGGGTCTCTAGCATATGTATATCTCAAAGTGAAAATGTGGGGTTTGAAGGGTTTGTACATACTGTTTTTTAGGTAGTACCAAATTCTTGAAAGTGATTGTACCAGTTATGCTCCCAAGAGCAGTCCCTGTGCAGCATGCGGTTGGTAGTTTCAATTTGCCTTTCCCTGATGGCGTGAGCGTAAGCTGCTTTTCAGGTGTGTATTGACTGCACAGCTGGGCCAGGACTAGGATGAGGAAAACGAGGTGTCTAGGTTGGATTTTTTATTTTTTATTTTTATTTTTATTTTTTTGAGACGGAGTCTCGCTCTGTCGCCCAGGCTGGAGTGCAGTAGCACGTTCTCAGCTCACTGCAGGCTCCGCCTCCCAGGTTCATGCCATTCTCCTGCCTCAGCCTCCTGAGTAGCTGGGACTACAGGTGCCCGCCACAACGCCCGGCTAATTTTTTGCATTTTTTTAGTAGAGACGGGGTTTCACTGTGTTGGCCAGGATGGTCTCGATCTCCTGACCTCATGATCCGTCCACTTCGGCCTTCCAGAGTGCTGGGATTACAGGTGTGAGCCACACGCCCAGCTTTATTTTTTTTTTTAAATTAGAGAGCAGCCCAGGCGCGGTGACTCACACTTGTAATCCCAGCACTTTGGGAGGCCAAGGTGGATGGATCACCTGAGGTCAGAAGTTCGAGACCAGCCTGACCAACATGGTGAAACTCTGTCCCTACTAAAAATACAAATTAGCCGCACGTCGTGGCATGGGCCTGTAATCTCAGCTTCTTGGGAGGCTGAGGCAGGAGAATCACTTGAACCTGGGAAGTGGAGGTTGCAGTGAGCCGAGATTGAGCCCTTGCACTCCAGTCTGGGCAACAAGAGTGAAGCTGTCTCTAAGTAAATAAATAAGAGAGCAAATGATATCTTCTCTGAGTAGAGAGACCTTTTTTCTTTTTCAGTACTTTCATTTTCACTTTCCAGTGGTCCTCGGTCTCCTTTAAGGAAATGACTTGAACATCTCTCCATTAAGTATATTTCTGAGTTTTGTGTATACCTGTTATTAGGGTAAAGAGTTGTTTTCTCATTAGCGTTTTTATCATGAATGGGTGTTGAATTTTATTGCATGCTTCAAATGGTAATGAAATTTTTCTTTAATCTGTTAATATGGTAGATTACAATGTTTTTCTGATGTTAAAATATCTTTGATTCTTACAGAATAAGGTCACCTTGGTGTCTTGATTAGTTTTTAATACACTGCTAGATTGCTAGTGTTTTATTTAGGACTTTGAAATTAATGTTCATCAGTGAGGGCAGCCTGTAATTTTTGTTACACTGTATTTGTCTAGTTTTAGTACTGAGGTTACGTTGGCTTTAAAAAATTATATGGGGCCTGGTGTGGTGGCTGACACCTGTAATTCCAGCACTTTGGGAGGCTGAGGCGGGCGGATCACGAGGTCAGGAGATCGAAACCATTCTGGCTAACATGGTGAAACCCCCTCTCTACTAAAAATACAAAAAATTGGCCGGGCGTGGTGGCGGGCACCTGTAGTCCCAGCTCCTCGGGAGGCTGAGGTAGGAGAATGGCATGAACCCGGGAGGCGGAGCTTGCAGTGAGCCGAGGTCGTACCACTGCACTCCAGCCTGGGTGATAGAGCCACACTGCATCTCAAAAAAAAAAAAAAAAGAGTTGGGAATTTTTTTGTTGTTATTTGGAAGGTTTTGTATAAGACAGCTTGTCTATTTCTTGAAGGCTGATTTGTTATTAGTATTGTTTTATTTTGTATTTGTTGTCTTTTTTTAACAGGAGTAAATTTCTGTTTACTGTTTAGATGTCATTAATGATTATAAGTCTATTCATGTTTTCTAGTTTGGAGTCAGTTTTGCTAATTCATATTTTTCAAGAAAAATTTATACTTCAACTAAGGTTTTTGTATATATTGACTGAAAATGGTTCATTGTATTCTCATATTTAAAATCTCAACTGTATTTGTGGTTGGATATCCTTTGTCATATGTTGTTTATTGTATTTTTTAAAATTGAGAGAGGTCTCAATTTTTAAATTGAGGGGAGGATTGTTTCTGAAAAGTGGTTTTTTTTAAGAACCATTGGATATTTTATTAACTTATAATAGCTGTTATTAACAAGAGCTTATTATGTGCCAAGTCCTATGTGCCCTTCTCATTTAATTTCCATGGTAACTTTGAGGTGATTTTTTTTTTTTTTCTTTTTAAGACAGGGTCTCTCTGTCGCTCAGGCTGGGGTGCATCGGCATGATCATGGCTCACTGCAGCCTCGCCCTCCTGGGCTCAAGTGATCCTCCTGCCTCACCCTCCCAAGTAGCTAGATCTGCAGGTTTGCCACCACACTGGGTTAATTTTAAAATTTTTCTTGTAGAGACAGGGTCTCATCATGTTGCCCAGGCTGGCTTCAAGCAATCCTGTTGCCTCAGCCTCCCAAGGTGCTGGGATCACAGGCATGAGACACTGCCCCGACCACATTTGCTGTATTATGTATTTATTCCCTAAATGCACATGTGACACAGGCTTAGGGGTGGGAAAGTACAAGGAGAACATTTATTTTTTCTAAGCCAGAAAAAATAAAGTATTTAAGAATTATTTTATCTAAATCAATAATTAATAGATGGAATTAAATTTAATTAAATTGCTTGATTAGTAGTTTATATTTTAATTAAAATCATTTTTCATGGCCCACCTGAGCCCAAGCCGAGATAATCACACTTGTTTTTAATTCTTCCACCTCTTCCAGGCCCCCCTACTTTCTTATGGGCATTACCAAGCTCCCATTGTAGAAATTTCTATGTTTTTATTGGAATGGTAGCTTTGGCGATGTCAGACTCATAGAATTTTAAAGTCTGTTCCTTTCACTGAATGTAAATTATCCCTCAAGAATGTTAAAGAACAAAACAGACACCCAGGCACCTAGACACTGCTGTCCAGCCTGTTCCCTTATGGGTGCCACAACAGCTCAGGGGCTTTCAAATCTGGTTTTCAGCTCTCTGTTTTTGGCCTCTAGGGATTTCTCTTAACATTCTCCTGAGCTTACCCAGCGATGTAAAGGATGTCTGTTACGATTTGTGGAACATTTCTGGGTGCTTATAGTGGGTGGGTTTCCAGGTCATCTCATCTACCTTTCTAGTGGAAACATAAGTGAATTAAGAAGTTTTCAGGCCGGATGCGGTGGCTGATACCTGTAATCCCAGCACTTTGGGAGGCCGAGGCGGGCAGATCACGAGGTCAGGAGATCGAGACCATCCTGGCTAACACGGTGAAACCCCGTCTCCACTAAAAATATAAAAAATTAGCCAGACGTGGTGGCGGGAGCCTGTAGTCCCAGCTGCTCGGGAGGCTGAGGCAGGAGATTGGCGTGAACCCAGGAGGCAGAACTTGCAGTGAGCCGAGATCACACCACTGCACTCCAGCCTGGGTGACAGAGTGAGACTCCATCTCAAAAAAAAGAAAAAAGTTTTCAAACCCTGAAGTAAATGTTGGCCTTAAATTTAGGAAAATGAGCTGAACTGGGGTAAAAAATATGCTGTAGATAACTGTAAAAATAAGCCATTCATTTTTCATATAATCATTGTATTTATTATGTACCCACCACTCTTCTAGGTGGTGATCAAAACAAAACTCTATTATTTTGGGACTTAATATTTAAAGGATGGAGATAGACAGTAAACAAATAACTGTGACGTGTCCAATTGGAATAAATGCTGACAAATGCTACATGATTGCATAATTTAGCCCAGTGATATAGTGGGGAATATTTATTTATTTATTTATTTGTGAGACTGGTCTCGCCTCCCCTGCTCAAGCAGTCCTCCCATCTCTGCCTTCCAAGTAGCTGGGACCACAGGGGGACGCCACCACGCCTGGCCAATTTTTGTCATTTTTGATAGAGGTGGAGTTCCACCATGTTGCCCAGGCTGGTCTCAGACTCCTGGATTCAAGCAATCTGCCTACCTTGGCCTCCCAAAGTGCTAGGATTACAGCCCTGAGCCGCTGCACCTGGCCTTAGTGGGGAAATTTTTTTTTATTTTTTATTTTTTATTTTTTTTTTGAGATGGAGTCTCATTCTGTCTCCCAGGCTGGAGTGCAGTGGTGCAATCTTTGGCTTACGGCAACCTCCACCTCCTGGGTTCAAGCAATTCTCCTGCCTCAGCCTCCCGAGTAGCTAGGATTACAGGCATGTGCCACTATGTCCAGCTAATTTTTGTATTTTTAGTAGAGACGGGGTTTCATCATGTTCTCCAGGCTGGTCTCGAACCCCTGACCTCATGATCCACCTGCCTTGGCCTCCCAAACTTCTGGGATTACAGGCGTGAGCCACTGTGCCCAGCCTTGTAGTGGGGAATTTGTAGATAAAATAATAACACATGGGGAAAAAAAAAAGACAAATAAAGGTGTTTTTTTAATTTGTTTGTGTTTTTGAGATGGAATCTCGCTCTGTCACCCAGGCTGGAGTGCAGTGGTGCAATCTGTGGCTTACTGCAACCTCCACCTCCTGGGTTCAGGCAACTTTCCTGCCTCAGCCTCCTGAGTAGCTGAGATTACAGGTGCGTGCCACCATGACTGGCTAATTTTTGTATTTTTAGTAGCCACCATGACTGGCTAATTTTTGTATTTTTGGTAGAGATGGGGTTTTGCCATGTTGGCCAGGCTAGTCTCAAACTCCTGACCTCAAGTGATTTGCCCACCTCTGTCTCCCAAAGTGCTGGGATTATAGGCGTGAGCCACTGTGCCTGGCCAGAAAAAAGATTTTAAAAAAACCCAATAGAAGAAAGTATAATAGAAAAAAAATTAAACCCAAAAGGACAAGAAAAAAGCAAAAAGAAATGTGTTAACGTGAGATTAAAACGTGGTTAATAAACAGGCAAGTTAAATTGATTTTTATAGTTTTTGCAATTACTATATCCAAGAATTTCTATCATCTTGTGTCCCTTACTTTCTAGACTATCAAGGTGAGGTGGAACATAGTTTTAAAAACTTTATCCTGAGTATTCTACAAAAGAAGACTCGATGGTCACATAAGATTCTGTTCTGAAAATTACATATTAATATATAACATATAAAAGTTCTTGAAATATTCTACGGTTAACAGTATTGGGGACCAGCCTCAACACCACCCGCAGGGTACGCGAAATTCGGTGGTGACAAAGGAATGAGAAGAGACAGGTTAAGAGTTCATAAAGGAGGGAGCCAGGGGGCCAGAGCAAATCAGAGGCTGTAAAGGCGCCAAGCTCTGATCTCCACACTATTTATTGAGTACAATCACTTAGATTTAAGAAGCAGATGTTCAGGGGTGAAATGGTGAAAGCAGGGCAGTGTGTCATACACCTAATCTATAGCAATGGTGGTTTAGGTAAATTTCTTTGTGCTGAACAGTATAAACTTAACTACTGATTTTTTTTTTTAACTAATTGGAGAGCAGCTGTGGGGAGTGGGCCTAACTAGGAGCCAGCATATCTGGCCACATTCTGGTGCTTCAAAGGAGTGTCTTTCTCCTTGAGCACAGTGTTTATAGATAGGAGAGCAGGTCACGTTCTGGTCTTGGGAACATGATGGCAATTAGAAGGCTTTCCTCCTCAGAGACCTCTTGTGGCTTTCCACAACTTAGTGTTCCATACTTGTATGGCCAGTTTATGCAGGCACCCCACAAGCCCTTTTCCCGACATAAGAGAACTGCTTCATTTTTTAAATCTCAACATTTTTCTTGAATCTGTTTTGCTGTGGAATGTTCTACTGAACATAGTTTGAAAATGTTACTGTAATAGAATCTCAACTCTGCAGTGTACTGTTTAGATGACCTTGCTAGCTTTTATTAGGTAGAAATGATAAGTACTTGCCATATAGGGTTGTTAGGAACAATATCTGAAATAATGTATAAGTTGTTTGTGGTATAGTCCCGGGTGTCTAGTTAATTGGAAGTTCATATTTGCTCCCTTCTCTGATTATTAACATTTACTTAGAAATATAGATACTATGTATAGAGACAGGATGGATCAGCAGTGTCCTTATTAGTCCTTAACTGTGATTCTTATCAACAGGAAACTGTGGAGATATAAATTTAGTACGACTGGGTCCAGAAAAGTCTATTAATAATGAGGTTCTAAAGTTCAGTTTGGACAGCCAAGTAAACCACAGAATGAGTAAGTACTGAATGTGGTATATACTAGTGTTTTCTCTGTTTCGTTTGGTGGAAAATTACTTGGGCACTAAAGGTAATTTGAAGCCTCCAGAATTAGTCTGGCTTTGGGAACTAATTTTCCTTCTGATTGTGTTGTATATATGTGTGAGTTTGTTAGAATAGCATATAATTTTTTATTTGTTATTTTTATTAGAAAAAGATTTACCTTCTCATGTTCAGGCGATGCATAAAAGAAAGGAATTTCTAGATTATCAGTTGGATGAGCTTTCCCGGCAGCGAGCTCTATGCCGAGGTGGACGGGAAATACAGGTATCTTTGCATTTCTTAAATAATGTTCTTTAAATAATAACTCAGGTATACAAACTAGTTAACACGGTTTTTTTTTTCTTTTTTTTCTTGTTTTTTTTTTTTTTGAGACAGAGTCTTGCTCTGTCTCCCAGGCTGGAGGTGCAGTAGCATAATCCTGACTCACTATTTTTTTGAGACAGAGTCTTGCTCTGTCTCCCAGGCTGGAGGTGCAGTAGCATAATCCTGACTCACTACAGCCTCAACTTCTTGTGTTTAGGTGATTCTCCTGCCTCAGCCTCCTATGTTGGCCAGGCTAGTCTCGAACTCCTGGCCTCAAGTTGATCTGCCCACCTCAGCATCCCAAAGTGCTGGAATTGCGGGCGTGAGCCATTGCGACTAGCCTAATTAATGAGTATTTAATGCCCTTTATTTATTGGGGAATGGCATGATTCGTGTATAAAAATGTGGACTAAGATGCTAAAAATGTGTCTCAGGTTAACACATTTCTTTCTGCTTTTTTTTTTTGTCCTTTTGGTTTTAGTTTTTTTTCAGTTTTTATTAAAATTTCTTTTTTTAAAAATCTTTTTAAAAACGTTTTTGTAAAGGGCAAGATAATCCAGTAAAGATTTTAGACTTTGCAAGCCATATGGTTGGTTTCTGTTGCAGCTATTCAACTCTGCTTTTGGTAGCACAAAGGCAGCCATAGATAATACATAAATAAATGGATGTGGCTGTGTTCCAGTAGAACTTTACTTACAAAAATAGATGGGATGTTGCGTTTTTGTTTATTTTTGAGATAGGATCTCACTTTGTGGCCTAGGCTGTAGTGCAGTGGTGCAGTGGTGCAGTTGTTCAATTTAGCCTCAAGCTCTTGGACTCAAGTGAGCTGTCTTTCTGTCTCAGCCTCTTGAGTAGCTGGGACTACAGCTGTGTGCCATCATGCCTGGCTAATTTTTTTGTGTGTTTTATGTAGAAAGTGGGTCTTGCCATGTTGCCCCGGGTGGTCTGAACTTCTTGCCTCAAGCAGTCCTCTCACCTTAGCCTCCCAAAGTGCCAGGATTACAGGCATGTGTCCCTGCACGTGGCCTTGCGTTTGGCTTATAGGCTGTACTGCCTTATATTAAAGCTATACTGAGTTTATTAGTTATCTTTCAGTTGCATGTTGAGCCCAGTTCAAATTAGGTTAGACAGAAAGGGAATTAGCTTCAGTATGGGTGGATCCAGAGGCTCAAATGACATCATTTCTCCAGTCCATAATTTGTTTTTCTGTGTGTTAGCCATTTCTTCTTCAGGAGAAGGTGAGTGTCAGCATTTCAGGGCTTCCACCATCTCAACTTAGAAACCCCATAGGGAGAGAAGGTCTTTCTCTTAGCATCCATATATCCAGAGAAGCAGTTAGTTTAGTCCCTGGGTGAGCAAGCAGGTCTAATCCATATTTTTAAGAAGATGGGTGCCATGATTGGCCAGGCCTGTGTTAGATGCCCATCACTGTGGTCAGAGGAATGGTTGGGGTGTGATTTACAGCCTCATTTGAATCACCTGGAAGTTAAGGGTGGTGCGATGCTCCCAGGGCTGGAATGCTAAGCAGACTGCTCACGTGCAGCGCACAGGACACAGCTCAGTCTTAGCAGCATACAGAATGCGTCAGGACTCTAGTGGTAAAGAGGAAATAAACTGGGTAAACACATTTTTCATTGGTAAAATACAGGCTCTTTTAAAATTAGAGGCAGTCCATTGGAAGGCTTTTAAAAATGCTTAGTTTAGTTTTAATTATGACATTTGGATTTTTTCCAGAGGCAAGAATTAGATGAAAACATTTCCAGAGTTTCTAAGGAAAGGCAGGAACTTGCTTCTAAAATTAAAGAGGTAAGTAGTTCACCTGTAGCATTTTCTTAATTTTGTTTTATTATTATTATTTTTTTATGTAAATATGACTGTTCAGACAAGCTATGGGCTTTATTTTTTTTTGGAGACAGAGTCTTACTCTGTCTCTCAGGCTGGGGTGGAGTGGCAAGATCTCAGCGCACTGCAACCTCAGCTTCCCGTGTAGTTGGGATTACAGGCGTGCACCACCATGCCTGGCTAATTTTTTTTTTTTTTTTGAGATGGTGTCTGGCTCTGTCACCAGACTGAAGTGCAGTGGCATGATCTCGGCTCACTGCAGCCTCCACCTCCCGGGTTCAAGCGATTCTCCTGCCTCAGCCTCCCGAGTAGCTAGGTTTACAGGCATGTGCCACCACGCGCAGCTAAGTTTTGTATTTTTAGTAGAGACGGGGTTTCACCATGTTGGCCGGGATGGGCTTGATCTCATGATGTCGTGATCCTCCTGCCTCAGCCTCCCAAAGTGCTGGGATTATAGGCATGAGCCACCACACCTGGCCTTTTTTTTGAGACAGAGTCTCACTGTGTCACCAGGCTGGAGTGTAGTGGCACGATCTCAGTTCACTACAACCTCTGCCTCCCGGGTTTGAACAATTCTCCTGCCTCAGCCTCCTAAGTAGCTGAGACTGCAGGCGCATGCTACCACCCCCAGCTAAATTTTGTATTTTTAGTAGAGACGGGGTTTCACCGTGTTGACCAGGATGGTCTCGATCTCATGACTTTATGGTCTGCCCACCTCCTCCCTAAGTGCTGGGATTACAGGCGTGAGCCACCACGCCAGGCCCTTTTTTTTCGTGTTTTTAATAGAAACGCAGTTTCACCATGTTGGCCAGACTGGTCTGGAACTTCCAACCTCAAGTCATCTGCCCATCTCAGCCTCCCAAAGTGTTGGCTTTACAGGCATGAGTCACCATGCCCAGCCAGCTATGGGCATTTCTCAGTTACATTTTAAATTGTTATGAAAAATTACAAACTTCTGTGGAAATGGAGAAAATGGTGTAACAACATTTGCATTATTTTCTTTAACCTAAGAATGAATTCTTAACACCATCTAAGATTTCTAAGAAAGAGGTGGTTATAAATTATCTTTTTTCTGTTTTAGGTCTCGATAAATATTTAAATTCCTTCTTATGAGGTGCTCTATTTCTGCTTCCCACAGACTGCAAAAAACAATTATGATAATTATCATCAGATAAACAGTTAATGAAACTAGCTTTGTGGGTGTTTTCCCTATTAAAAAAAAAAAGTCACCTGTGTGAGCTTTAGGATGAGGGTGGCAACTGTGAGCCCTCCAGAGCTCCAACCTGGGCGCAAGTAGAGTGATGATGGGCAGAATTTGGCATAAGAAAGTACAGCACTTTGATTTTTGGTTTTTGTTTTTTGCAATTCTTGGCTTAGAGCATAAACTCCTTGTACTTGCGTTAGATCATAAGGCTCCTGTAATATTTTGTAGCTTTTCCCCAGTATTTTTTGGACGTGAAAATATCCTGTAAGATTTAGACTAATGAAGCTTGGCTGAGCCAGGTGTATACCCTGATTGTCAGAATGCAGCCATAATCAAACCGCATCGGGGTCAGGGAAAGAGGGTAATAGTAACTGATGACGTTAGTAGTATTTTTGCTGAAGTGTTTCTCCTGAATGTATTGTGATCTTTCTCTGTGGACTAAAATACAGTTGAATTTAATACATATTTTCATTAGCAGTTTATTTAAACTAAAAATTATGTGAAAGCTTTTGATTAAAGTTGTAAACAGAACCCCAGATTAATCTTTCCTGAGTCAAGGATGAAGTCCATCTTCACAGATGTTTTTTGCTGCTCATCACATGTGTTGTGTGGGCCATGAAACTGTGCTTGCAGTTTTACTCACTGGAGGGCTGAGGACAGTGTCTGACAGTGCTTTACTGTGTGAGCCGTGGAGGACCACAGTGCCACCATCTTCCTAAAGCTCATACACATGCCTTGAATTGCATGGTTGAATATATCATATGTGCTGAGATGAATCACCTCTACTTCTTAGTAGCAAAAGGAAGCAAAGTGAATTTCTGATGAAAATGCTGATTTATTTGAGCACTGCATGGTATGATTGTGAGGCGTCATCCACGTTGTCTGGCTCCATCACAGTACTTTGCATTATAGAAGGAGGCCACACTTGTTTTTCTTACTGTGGAAATAGAATATTTGTCAGGTTCACAGGCATTTTTGTTAGTACTAGCAAAAGCACTAAAAAAAAGGAAAGGACAATATTATATACTTAAAAACTAACAGAAAAATGTACATTCAAGCTGAATTCTAACCCTGGTTTTACTCAGATAATTCACAACTCAGAATTATTACATCTCTACTTCAGATACCTACCTACATATATCTGACTACAGGAAGGATTGTAATCTACTTTGACCAAGTCAAACCCTGGATAAGAATTTTTAATGTGCTTAAATCATATTCTGTGTTTCAGCCACAAAGCACACATTCTTTCCGGTTTGGGATTATCTTGAACGTTTCTGTTGTTTCCTAGATTTGAGGGTTTCCCCCTAACTTTTACTAAATGTTTTTCTGTCACTTAATAAATAGTGAGTGTTTTATAGTAAACATAGGCCTGTCATAGTCAAGGATTGATGTACAGCTGAATATTGATTTAATCTTTGTTCTCTTAGGTTCAAGGACGCCCACAGAAAACACAGAGTATCATCATCTTAGAGTCCCATGTCATCTGCTGCACATTGAGCACAAGTGGTGGCTTACTACTTGAATCTGCTTTCCGGGGGCAAGGGGGTGTCCCCTTCAGCTGTGTCATTGTTGATGAGGTCAGTCAACAGTCAGCCATACAACTTTGACTAGTACTATGAGGAGTAAGTCTTAGAATAATTAGATTAATTGTGGCTGCTGAGATGTTGAGGAGATGTGGTTTTTTTTTTGCATCTGATTTTTATGTGCTATTACATGTGTACTCCCTTATGTAGAAATACGCTTCTTATGGCCAGGCGCGGTGGCTCAAGCCTGTAATCCCAGCACTTTGGGAGGCTGAGATGGGCGGATCACGAGGTCAGGAGATCGAGACCATCCTGGCGAACACAGTGAAACCCCACCTCTACTAAAAAATACAAAAAAAAAAAACTAGCCGGGCGAGGTGGCAGGCGCCTGTAGTCCCAGCTACTCGGGAGGCTGAGGCAGGAGAATGGCGTGAACCCGGGAACGCGGAGCTTGCAGTGAGCTGAGATCTGGCCGCTGTACTCCAGCCTGGGCAACAGAGCAAGACTCCGTCTCCAAAAAAAAAAAAAAAGAAATACGCTCCTTAATGGCCCTCCATAGTGAAAGTGGGTTTTCCAGTATTTGGGGGTTAGTCTTGAGGATGACTGATGGTTTCTAACAAAGTCTCTGCTGAGTGACTGTCTCGCTCTTGCTTACAGTGTCTCTGGTAACCTTTTGATGTAGTTTTAATATAATTTTGGACAGCTTTGAGCCATAGTATGTTCACCTGACATCCTTTATTCCTAGTTCACTCTTTGAGCAAACATTTATTGGGTACCTGCTGTTTGTCATAATGTAGAGTCAGAAGACAAAAGAGATGGAGCAGGAAAAACCAGAGAATTGAGTGATCAGGAGACCTAAGATCCAGTTTTCACCAGAAGGAAAGGACAAAAAGTGGAAATGATTAAATAGTTGAAGAAAATGTCATTGAATTTAAGAGAAATTTGAGTCTCGTGATCAAAGGCATGCTGAGGAACCAGGAGGAAAGCTATGGGGAAACACAGCCCTGGACGCTCCTAATGGGATTTCTGAACCTCAGATACAAAGTTTTGAAAAGGGCCTGGGCATGGTGGCACACACCTGTAATCCAGGCACTTTGGGAGACTGAGGAGGGTGGATCACTTGAGCCCAGGAGTTTGAGACCAACCTGGGCAACATGGTGAAACCTTGTCTCTACTGAAAATACAAAAATTAGCCAGGTGTGATGGCATGCGCCTGTAATCCCAGCTATTCGGGAGGCTGAGGTGAGAGGATTGAGCCGGGGAGGCGGTGAACGACGATCATGCCACTGCCCTCCAGCCTGGGTGACAGAGTGAGACTCTGTCTCAAAAAAAAAAAAATTTAAAAATAAATAAAAATTTTAAAATAAATTTTTAAAAGGACTTTAGAGGAGAAAAGTTTTTTTCAGGCTCATGTCCAGCAGGAACAAAGAGCACACATCTAGGATGTGCATGGCCTTCTGAACTTACGGCTGGTTCCTAAGTGGTAGTGGCTGACTTGGTGGCTGACTTCAAAATACGTGTTTGATTTTTTTGAAAAATGTGTTTGGAGAATTTACTTTTTATTTATTCATTTTTTTTTTTTGAGACGGAGTCTCGCTCTGTCACCGAGGCTGGAGTGCAGCGATGTGATCTTGGCTCACTGCAACCTCTGCCTCCTGGGTTCAAGCAATTCTCCTGCCTTAGCCTCCTGAGTAGCTGGGATTATAGACACTGGCTACCACGCCCAGCTAATTTTTTTGGTATTTTTAGTAGAGATGGGGTTTCGCCATGTTGGCCAGGCTGGTCTTGAACTCCTGACCTCAGGTGATCCACCCGCTTCAGCCTCCCAAAGTACTGGCATTACATGTGTGAGCCACCGCACACAGCCTGGAGGACTTATTTTGTTGGTTTTGTTTTGTTTTTTGATTTCAGGGAAAATCCTTATTTTTGACATTTGGTGCAGGAGAAGTGTGGTACTTTTCTGAATGGTTAGAACTTTAATCAGATAAACTATATGGATAAATGGTAAAGATTGTTAAGACTGCCTTTCCCTTCTGTATCTTACCAAGGCTGGACAGTCTTGTGAAATTGAGACTCTTACCCCACTCATCCATCGCTGCAATAAGCTCATCCTAGTAGGAGATCCCAAGCAGCTCCCTCCCACAGTCATCTCTATGGTAAGTTTTTTATGTTCAGATTGCTTTAAAATGGAAGGGGCTTTTTAAAATGTTTGTTTTCAGGAGGGAGAGACACCTTTCTTGGATTGGCCTCTTAATTTGGAGGGAAAAGTAAGCAGTAACTGAGAAAAGAGAAGCACGGATTGAGTCTTAATAAGCAAAAAAAAAAAAAAAAATTCCTAAAAATGCCCCTTTGTTCATAGTTGTTCTTCTGTGTATGTGTGGCAGAAGCAGTGTGTCAGGGACTGGAAGCCTAGATGGATGACGTGCCATGGAAACCAACCTTTGGGAAAGGCAGTGTGCACGTCTTTTAAGAGCTGAATCTGATTTATTTTAATCATACAAACACCAAAAGAGTAATAAAAGAAAAACTACAGAAATAAGGAGAAGAATCCCACCCTCCTCATTTTTATTTAAATATGTACAAATTGAGGAAATATGAGGTTAAATTAATTTTGGAGTACATTTCTATTTTTAGAATTTGATATTCTGTTGTTCATACAAGAACATGTCTGTGCCCCTCACATCATCTGAAAGTGAGGGTACTGGGGGAAGAAAAAGAATTGTGAACTCTGACTTCAGGAAGAGAAGAATCAGATTGTAGTCTAGTCTACTTTGTTGGATTTTTTTAAAATCTCACGAAAGACGTCTCCTGGAAATGCATATCAGAATCAGGATTCAATAGATGTTTTGAAGTAATCTGAAGAGGTTTTGAAATTTAATAAAATGTGTATTTTTTTACTAATAACATAGATTATACAGATAATTGAGCAGTGGCCTCAAATAATCCTAGAAAATAGATCATTTTCAAAGCATTTTTGTTGAAGTATGGCATGAATGCAGGTGGTTATCATTAGTGGTTTTTGACTTTGAAATTATTCAGAATGATAGTGCAGTTCTTTGTATGACATTTGAGCATAGGTACATGATCACATTAGTGTGTGGCCCAGAAGCACACCTGTCACCCACTGAAAACCCGTGTGTGTAGGGAAGAACTGCTGCAGGTAACTCTGTTCATGGAAAATAATGAAGAGCAAATTCTGTATCCCATTTCTTTAAATAATGCAGTATTTCATTGAAGGGCCTTAGCATATAGTGAAAAGAGAGATTGTTAATGGGCCTCAACTTTACTGCCTAGTTTAATGATTGATAAAAACAACAAAAATTAGAAAAAAAATCCATTTGTGCTTTTTAAATTGTTGTACAAATAAAACAGGCTATTTTGAGAAAATAATTACAAAGTTCATTTCCATAAGGTGCCTTTTTTGACCACCTATTTCTAGTGATAATTACAGTGAAAGTGAGTATTTTTAATGGATATCGCTGGGCATTTGTGTGTTTGTTCATCTTTTTCAGTATGTGTATACTGAGTGCCAGCATAATTCAGGTGCTGTTTAGGTCCTGGGGTTGTAACAGTGAAGAAAACAGACAAAATCCCTGCCATGAGTCGTGGTGTTTATATTCTAGGGGATAGCAGTCAGTTACTAAAAAGTGGTATATGGTTTGTATACATGTACATATTTATGTGTATATGTACATGGGTTTGATTTTGTTTAAAGGTGGCAAAATCATTCTGTGCAGAATTGTTTTTTGTTTTTTTTTTTTTCAATTAGTAAATCAGGGACATTCTCCCATGTCAGAATATATATTAATAAATTCTATGTCATTTGTAGAATGGACTAAGGTTCTGTCTGAAGGTAGATGCGTTACCTTATATAAGTTCCTTTTCTGTTTGCCCAAAGAAAAGATTAAAAATTAGATTTTGTGAGCTAACGCAGATAAACTTTTGAGGATTTAGGCAAAATTGTCATATGTCTATTAATAATTATTATTTTTTACTTACACAAACCTGTTTAAAATCACACATATGAATAGGTTAAGTAGTGCCTTTTTTCCACTCTCATAGTTTGTGAAACAAGTTTATTCAGGCTTTGCACATCTTCAGTACCAGTATCTTTCACATCACTCATGAAGATTCCATCATCTTAGTGAAGTTTTCAGCACATTTTTACTTCCAGGTTATTTAAGATAAAGTACTTTTTGAAACTTTCTATGATGCTGCCGTTGGAAAGTGTATCCCAAGGCACAACTGTAATAACATCAAGACAGTTTATCCCGTTTGTCACTTTGGTCACTGTTTTTCAGATTGCAGAGTATAACCCATTATTTGGTTTGTGAAATCCATTTAGCACAGCTTGGGCTTTCCTAATTCAAAAATTTGAAATGCTTCACTATCTGAAACTTCCCAAGTGCTGACATTATACTTAAAGTTCACGCTCAAAGGATATGCTCATTGGAATATTTTGAATTTTTGGATTAGAGATGGCTAACACGTAAGTCGAGTCTGTTTCCTTCACTGGAAATTAAGTCCCGTGAAACTTGATCTTATTCACTCTGGCAGTCTTAGCACTCCAGATTATAGGTGCTTAGTACACATTAGATGGATGAATGAAGAATTTTGTCTTCAAAAGGCTTGTTTACAGTGGCATTCAGTATATCTGTCTGTGAGGGTATACCCCCGGAAATAATTGTTAAAATCTGTGTTACATTTCTCTGCTTCCTTTATTGTTGGTTTTTTTGGGTGGCATCTTGTAGCATCAAAATAGCATCAGTCGTCTTTCACGAGATTGTATCTCTTTCATTAGCAGTATATGAGTAGAAAATACCTCCACATGTATTCAAGATTCATGGCATTTTGGCTGGGTGTGGTGGCTCATGCCTGTAATCCCAGCTACTCAGGAGGCCAGAGACACGAGAATCGCTTGAACCTGGGAGGTGGAGGTTGCAGATGAGATCATGCCACTCACTGCACTCCAGCCTGGGCGATAGAGCGCTACTGTGTCTCCAAAAAAAAAAAGATGCATGGCATTTTGAGGATCAGAGTCAGAAACACCTTTTTTGTCTGAAGCTGTGGTTGGTAATCTTATGCTACCTGAACGTTGCCATGTACGTATTAGATCTCAGTAATTGTGTTTATAATAGTGGGAAAGATAGAAACGAATTCTTGGAAATTATTGCTTTATTTTGCCCCTCACAGAAAGCACAGGAGTATGGCTACGACCAGTCAATGATGGCTCGCTTCTGCAGACTGCTGGAAGAGAATGTAGAACACAACATGATCAGCAGGCTGCCTATTCTGCAGCTGACTGTGCAGTACAGGATGCATCCAGACATATGCCTCTTCCCTTCCAATTATATTTACAACAGAAACTTAAAAACAAATAGGTGAGTTCCCCTTACTGCTCGTGACCTTAGTAGTTTAGCTACTTATGAAGAATAGACATTTTACTATCTTCTTCTTAGGTCTTGTCATAAAAAGCGTAAATCACGGAGGATTAATAATTTTCTCTTGTTATAATAGCCATCATGTTGAATACAGCAGAGCACATAAAAATGAAAGGGGGGAAAAGTCACCTATATTTATACTAACCAGAAATAATCACTGGTAACACATTTTGGTATATCTGCTTTCAGTCCTTTTTTTTTTTTTTTGGGAAGACAGGGTCTCATTCTGTCACCCAGACAGAATGAGTGCAGTGGCACAATCCTGGCTCACTGTAGCTTCAACCTTCCAGGCTCAATCGATCACCTGCCTCAGCCTCCTGATTAGCTGGGACTACACTCAGTCACCGCCATGCCTGGCAAATTTTTGTATTTTTCTTTTTGTAGAAACGGGATTTCACTATGTTGCCCAGGCTACTTTCAAACTCCTGAGCTCAAGCAATCCGTCTGCCTTGGCCTCCCAAAGTGCTGGGATTATAGGCGAGAGTCATTTCAGTCCTTTTACCATGCATATCTTTTTTTACTTTTTAAATTTTTGAAGGAAAAATGTGGGACCTTACTCAACATAGTATTCTGTGGCTTACTCTATTATGAGTGTCTTTCCAATCATATTTGTTATATTTTAATGATAAAGATACCTTTCCTGGCACCAGGAAAGAAATAGAATTTGTTTTGTACCTTTCACTAATATACGTATAGAAAAGAATATTCCTGTTATCCCCTTACTTGCCCCAGCCCACATCACCACACAGAAAAAATTGTAGTAACACCAAAATATTTTCTTAAATCTTGACTTTATTGTGAATGTTGACTGCTTTTTTTTACAGACAGACAGAAACCATTCGATGTTCATCAGACTGGCCATTTCAACCATACCTTGTGTTTGATGTCGGAGATGGTTCAGAAAGACGGGATAATGAGTATGTTCTCCTCTTGCCTCAGTCCTCTGATAGTCCCAGAATTGTTACATGATTTGCATTCATATTTCTGTTAAATACATTTCCTATACACATCTCTCTGCCTAGTGTCAGGGCACAGTCATTTTCACTTAAGTTGATGCTTCTTTTTTCTGTATAAGGGGGTAATATTACCTAATGTCATAAGCAAGCACTTGAGTAGATACTTGTTGAGCTCACAGCAGTGAGGGAAACAGACGTGCCTATTGCAAGATGGTGATCTCATGGGAAGACAGACCTTCACCAGGTAATCACCTAGGTAAGCAGTTATTCCAGTTGGGTTAAGTACTGTGAAGGCTAAGTATAAATTCAGTTGAATGAGCATGTGAAAGGAAGTAGTGACAGAGGTTGGATGGTATTGGGTTGTGAATAAGGGCATATGTTCAGGTGGTCTGTATATGACAGCAAAGAGGAGTGGTGGTGTTGCTAGATAGTGGCAATGTCAGAGGAGCCGGGGATTCTTGTGAGAGACTAGGGGAGGAATGGTCTAGGGGCAGCATTTGTTGGCACAGATGCAAGCACCGCTCTGTCATGAAGTATGAGGAAACACAAATCCCACTTCTACATCATGGGATGACTGCAGAGCAGGTGGCGTCCTCAGGCGAGAATCAGGTGTTAGATAGGATACAGAGGTGGAAGTAGGGAACACTCATTGAAGAGGCTAAACATACAGAGGAGGAGTTGGCCATGGGATTGTAGTGCTGGAGGGACTGCAGCCTAAAGGTTTTAATGGGACCTATTGGAGGAGAGCAGAGGATTGTGAGTGAAGCCCCAGAGCATCAGGAAGGAGGGTTATGAGCGGAATGTTGACCAGAGAGGGTTAATCTGGGAGGGGACCAAGGAAAATGAAGATTTCAGGGATGGAAGAGATTGCTCGCTGACTGGGTTGTCCATATAGTAATTCTCAAAGTTAGGAGAATGGGTATTTAAGGCTCGTAAAGCAAGGTGGGTAAGGTATCCTCAGGAATCAAGGGATAGGGGCAGTGCATCCCCTGGTCTTGGTGCATTTCGGGTCTGGTATGGTCATGAGGGAGCATGTGGTTTCAGGAGGGGTTGAGAGTACAGGATATGAGACTGGTGAGGACTATAAAGAGGACATGAACCTGCTCCAGGGCCCCATGTTGTTCAACTGGGGTCAAGTAGGACACATCCTTCACATTGAATCTGTGTGGATGGCAGCTGCTCAGTTGCGTGGTGTCTGTTGTATGCAGCCAGTGGTGGGGGACGAGGAAGATCATACATCTAAAGCATTTTCTCAGTGTTCGGAAGTCAATCCTTAATTCATGTTAGCTATGTCTTATTCACATCCTTGTTCTTATTAATACTGCTGTTCTTACTACTGCTATCCCTCTTTTAACAGATGAAGAAAGTGGTGCCTAAACTTCAGTTGATTTCAAACTCTTTTCTCTCTACAGCTTCATTTTTCACTGGACGTTTCACATGTATTCATATTTACCACAGCATTTTCACGTTTATTCATATATACCATATTAATGGTCATGGTAACAGCCTCTTGGAGTCACTGCTAGCTGAATAAAAGATGAAACCTATCTGCCTGCCATTTACTATAATGGGAAACAAACTCAGTGGAACTTAAGTTAGCAGTTAGCCTGCTATTAGTTTTGATAACATTGTGTTTTCTTTTTCCATCTTGTTTAGCTCATACATAAATGTTCAAGAAATAAAACTGGTGATGGAAATAATTAAGCTTATTAAAGACAAAAGAAAGGATGTTAGTTTTCGAAACATTGGCATAATAACTCATTACAAGGCCCAGAAGACGATGATTCAGAAGGATTTGGACAAAGAGTTTGATAGAAAAGGGTGAGGTATTTCTATAAATATTTCCAGTTTTCTTGTTGAATTAGATTGAGAGGACATAGAAGGAAAGAAGAAAAGGAAACTCTTAAGGAGTGGTCTGTGCACATTGGTGATGCGGCACAAGGAAGCCGGGATGCTGCTGGCTTTCAGACACTTGTGCTGTGGAGCTCCTGGGCAGACAGGGTACTTCCTGGCAGTTGGAATGTCAACATTCTCCTTGGCAGTGGAATCGACTAAGAAACTTGCCAGGTCTTTACCCTTCAGTTCCGTGACTTCGTCATCAGAATTCTTGTTCCAGCAAGACTAAAAGTGACATTTCACTTTAAATAAATGACTTAACCCCTTGCATTGCCTTTATGTGTAGAATGAAGATGTTGTTTTTGTTTCCTTCTTACCTCAGCAGTAAAATTTAAGATTAAAATTAAAGATTTTTTTTTTAGATTAAAGATTTTTTTAAAGATACAAGGTTATGGAAATCCATAACCTTAAAATCATCTTAACTTACAGGCACGCAGACTACCAAAATAGAATCTTGAAAACAATAGAAAATCAGACCTATAGCCCGGGTGCAGTGGCTCACACATGTAATCCCAGCACTTCGGGAGGCTGAGGTGGGCAGATCACCTGAGGTCAGGAGGTTGAGACCAGCCTGGGCAACATGGTGAAACCCCATCTACTGAAAAAAAATACAAAAACTAGCCATGTGTGGTGCGTGCTCCTGTAGTCCCAGCTACTCGGGAGGCTGAGGTGGGTAAATCACTTGAACCCAGGAGGCGGAGGCTGCAGTGAGCTGAGATTGCCCCACTGCATCACTCCAGCCTGGGTGACAGAGCAAGACTCCATTGAAAAAAAAAAAAAATCAGACCTATATAACAAATAATGAAACATTTCCCAATAATGAAAAGCCCAGAACCAAACTAAACTGGTGAATTCTATCAAATATTAAAAGAAGAATGAACACCATTCCTTCTCACATGCTTCCAATAAATAGAACACCCACATTCATTTTACGAAGCCAGTATTACACTGATAGCAAAGCCAAGGGAAGGCATCACAAGAAAACTACAGACCCAAATCCCTGTGACTACAGATACAAAAATCCTCAACAAAATAGTGACCAACTGAATCTAGCAGTTTATTAAAAGGATTTATTTATTTATTTTTATTTTTATTTTTATTTTTATTTTTGAGACGGAGTCTTGCTCTGTCACCCAGGCTGGAGTGCAGTGGGCCGGATGGCTCAGCTTCACTGAAGCTCCGAACCTGCCGGGGTGTCATTTGGTGGTTAGGGCGCTGCAGGACTCCCGTAGCTGGGATACAGGCGTCCCACTGCGCGCGGCTGTTCTTTTTTATTTTCTTAGTAGAGACGGTTCTCACCATGTTACCCCCCCCCAGGGATGGTTCGATCCCCCCCCCCCCCCCCCTCGTGATCCACCCGTCTCGGCCTCCCAAAGTGCTGGGATTACAGGCTTGAGCCACCGCGCCTGGCCTATTAAAAGGATTTATACATCAAGACCTAGTGGGATTTATCCCAGGAATGTAAGATTGCTTCAACATGTGAAAATCAGTGTGATATACCATATTAGAAGAATGGGAAGACCCACATAATCAGCTCAGTAGATATGAAAAAAAATTGCACAGAACCCAAAACCCTTTGATGATTAAAAAAAAAAAAAATCAAACCAGGAATACAAAGGAACTTTTTTTTTGAGACGGAGTCTCACTCTGTCACCGAGGCTAGAGTGCAGTGGCTGGATCTCGGCTCACTGCAAGCTCCGCCTCCCAGGTTTACGCCATTCTTCTGCCTCAGCCTCCCGAGTAGCTGGGACTACAGGTGCCCACCACCTCACCCGGCTAGTTTTTTGTATTTTTTAGTAGAGGTGGGGTGTCACCGTGTTAGCCAGGATGGTCTCGATCTCCTGACCTCGTGATCTGTGTGTCTCGGCCTCCCAAAGCGCTGGGATTACAGGCTTGAGCCACCGTGCCCGGCCCAAAGGAACTTTTTTTATTGATAAAAGACAATTACGAAAAACTCATAGCTAACATTATACTTGACAGTAAGAATGAAAGCCTTTCCTCTAAGATCAGGAAAGATGTTTGAAAATCTTACTGCTTCTTTTCAACATTGTATTAGAGGTTTTAGTCAGAGCAGTTAAGTAAGGAAAAGAAGTAAAAAGCATCTTTATTGGAAAGAAAAAAGTAAAACTATCTCTTTTCATAGGTGGCATGATCTTATTTCTAGAAACCCTGACAAATCCACTCAAAGACACTTATTAGAGAGAATAAGCTTAGCAGGATGCAAGATTAATATGTAAAAGTTGATTATATTTTGATACAACTAGCAACGAACAATCTGAAAAGGAAGTTGAAACAATTCCATTTACAATAACATCAAGAAGAATAAAACACTTCGGAATAAATAGAACCAAAGAAATGTAAGACTTACATGCTGAAAACTGCAAACATTGTTGAAAAGAATTAAAAGAACACTTAAATAGGCTGGGCGCAGTGGCTCACGCCTGTAATCCCAGCGCTTTGGGAGGCCCAGGTGGGTGGATCACCTGAGGTCAGGAGTTCAAGACCAGCCTGGCCAACATGGTAAAACCCTGTCTCTACTAATAATACAAAAATTAGCCGGGCATGGTGGCACACAACTGTAATCCCAGCTACTCTGGAGACTGAGGCAGGAGAATCACTTGAACCCGGAGGCGGAGGTTGCAGGAGCTGAGATCCCTCATTGCACTCCAGCCTGGGCAACAAGACTCGAACGCCATCTCAAAAAAAAAAAAAAAAAAAAAACCCCACCTAAATAAATGTGGAAGACATCCTGTTTTCATGGAACTGGAAGACTTAGATTGTTTTGTTTTTGCATTTTTGGGTGTTTTTTCATTTTTAGTAGAGACGAGGTCTCACTAGTTGCCCAGGCTGTTCTCAAACTCCCAAGTTCACATGATCTTCCCAAAGAGCTTAGATTACAGACGTGATGCCTCC